GCAGCCGCTTACAAAGCTGCGATAGGCAAGATGCTGAAAACGCCTATAAGGGGAGGAATGGATGATATACAGTGTATATATGTATATTTACGCATGTTCATTTGGTACATTTCTAAAAATAAAGTTTGATGGAAATACTTAGTAGGCCTATCCTTTCTTCCCTGAATGATTTGCTCCTATAACATATCATTCATATATAGCAAACCATGATTTGATTTCTCATCAAACAGTAGTAGTTTATTACAGGTAAACATAACTTACTCTTCTATAACAACAGTTGTAGGTACAGTTCGGTTAGTTAGCGTATAAAATATACGGCTGTACCGAGGCCATTATAAGACTGTTGTTCCGCTGAGAGCGAGCCGAGAAAAGCACTGTTAGACATGGGCGGAGCCTCTCTGGTGGTTGACTAATCAGAACAGAGTGGCCGAGCTGACCAATCGGAGCACACTAGGCTCACAGGGAGGGGGGGGGCAAGAGCTCCAACGAGCCGTTTAGTGGAGAGAGTGAATACTGCTGAATACACATAGTTTACAGAGATGCTGTATGTGAAACCAATGTGAGTTTGGAAAATTGCACAGTATAAATCTATTTTAGTATACCTCAACAATGGAATTATGATCAGTGGAAATGGCCATGACATGGGACCTTTAAAATGTTACACATCTTTCTGACATTATTATGTGTAACGCAACTTTTAAATCTGATTCTTACTTTTAGAGATATTAAACATTGTTCAGACCTTGGTACATAAGATTTTCAACTACATAATTACTCTGTAGCTATGTCAGATTGACAATAAAGAACCTTGAACCTTGGTACAGAGGCCTTCTTCAGATTTTAACATTAACTAGAGTGCGTGATGTCACAGATAGAGTGTAGGAAATCTTGAAATTTGCCTTCATATTTTTTACTGCCATAATTCCCAAACCCTACATTCCTGAGACATAATTTTTCATGACAAACGTAGGAAAACATCTCGTAGCTTGAAAAATGACAAATAATTAAGCAAAAAATAATTAAACAAAATGCCTCTTGAGGCCATGAAAAGACACAAACTTTCAACATGTCTCCATTAAAGCCCATTGTAATTTCAGGCTGATATTTCCTCACAGCAGCAGCCGCACAACTTTACTTAATCTGCCACATAGGCCACATTATTGACCCGAAAGTACACAAAAAGCACACTTCAGATACTCAAGGTCCTTGAGATGCTTCACGCTTTGAAATTTTACTGATATCTGTTACGGTTCTTCAACAAAACGTTCACATGTAACAGGTTTATCTCTCATTCAGAACAATGCAAACGCTCTCCTCTCACTGATTACTGCACGTTGACACGTCGTTAGCTCAAATATAAACACCTGTGTCAGTAAACACGATGATGTCATAACTCCAACTGACATGCTCAGAGCAGCAGACTTCAGATAATGGTTAATGGTCCTGCCCTCAACAGCTCTACGTCAATTATGGGGTGTCATCATATGCCGTTTCCATGGAAGATCAAGAGAAGAGAGAGAGGGTGATAAGTGAGAGGGTGATCAAGAGAAAAGAGAGAGGGCGATCAAGAGAAGAGAGAGAGGGTGATCAAGAGAAGAGAGATGGCGAGCAAGAGAACAGAGAGAGAAGAGAGAGAGGGTGATCAAGAGAAGAGAGAGAAGAGAAGAGAGAGAGTCAAACTAAAGTGGAGACATGGCAGAAACCCTACAGTGAAGTGAAGTGTTCTCCTGTGAGAGGGCGATCAAGAGAAGAGAGAGAGGGTGATCAAAAGGAGAGAGAGAGGGCGATCAAGAGAAGAGAAAGAGGGTGATCAAGAGAAAAGAGAGAGGGCGATCAAGAGAAGAGAGAGAGGGCGATCAAGAGAAGAGAGAGAGGAGGATAGAAGAGTGAGAGGGCGATCAAGAGAAGAGAGAGAGGGCGATCAAGAGGAGAGAGAGAGGGCAATCAAGAGAAGAGAGAGAGGGCGATCAAGAGAAGAAAGAGAGGGTGATAGAAGAGTGAGAGGGTGATCAAGAGAAGAGAGAGGGCGATCAAGAGAAGAAAAAGAGGGCGATCAAGAGAAGAGAAAGAGAAGAGAGAGAGGGCGATCAAGAGAAGAGAGACAAGAGAAGAGAGAGAGTCAAACTAAAGTGGAGACATGGCAGACACCCTACAGTGAAGTGTTCTCCTGTGAGAGGGCGATCAAGAGAAGAGAGAGAGGGCGATCAAGAGGAGAGAGAGAGGGCGATCAAGAGAATAGAAAGAGGGCGATCAAGAGGAGAGACAGAGGGCGATCAAGAGAAGAGAGAGAGGGCGATCAAGAGAAAAGAGAGAGGGTGATAGAAGAGTGAGAGGGTGATCTAGAGAAGAGAGAGAGGGCGATCAAGAGAAGAGAGAGAGGGCGATAAAGAGAAGAGAGAGGGCGATCAAGAGGAGAGAGAGAGGGCAATCAAGAGAATAGAAAGAGGGCGATCAAGAGGAGAGACAGAGGGCGATCAAGAGAAGAGAGAGAGGGCGATCAAGAGAAAAGAGAGAGGGTGATAGAAGAGTGAGAGGGTGATCAAGAGAAGAGAGAGAGGGCGATCTAGAGAAGAGAGAGAGGGCGATCAAGAGGAGAGAGAGAGGGCGATCAAGAGAATAGAAAGAGGGCGATCAAGAGGAGAGACAGAGGGCGATCAAGAGAAGAGAGAGAGGGTGATAGAAGAGTGAGAGGGTGATCAAGAGAAGAGAGAGAGGGCGATCTAGAGAAGAGAGAGAGGGCGATCAAGAGAAGAGAGAGAGGGCGATAAAGAGAAGAGAGAGGGCGATCAAGAGGAGAGAGAGAGGGCAATCAAGAGAATAGAAAGAGGGCGATCAAGAGGAGAGACAGAGGGCGATCAAGAGAAGAGAGAGAGGGCGATCAAGAGAAAAGAGAGAGGGTGATAGAAGAGTGAGAGGGTGATCAAGAGAAGAGGGAGAGGGCGATCTAGAGAAGAGAGAGAGGGCGATCAAGAGAAGAGAGAGAGGGCGATAAAGAGAAGAGAGAGGGCGATCAAGAGAAGAGAGAGAGGGCGAGCAAGAGAAGAGAGAGAGAAGAGAGAGAGAAGAGAGAGGGCGATCAAGAGAAAAGAGAGAGGGTGATAGAAGAGTGAGAGGGTGATCAAGAGAAGAGAGAGAGGGCGATCTAGAGAAGAGAGAGAGGGCAATCAAGAGAAGAGAGAGAGGGCGATAAAGAGAAGAGAGAGGGCGATCAAGAGAAGAGAGAGAGGGCGAGCAAGAGAAGAGAGAGAGGGCGATAGAAGATTGAGAGGGTGATCAAGAGAAGAGAGAGGGCGATCAAGAGAAGAGAGAGAGTAATGTAACCTCCTAATGTAATGTAAGTGCTCAAACTTCACATGTGTGCTCACAGTCCAGCCGTGAAGACATCTACGGGACAGTTTTGAGATTTCTTCAAATGCCGTTGCCATGGCAACACAATGCTCACCATGAAACACGGTTTTCTCATAACTTCAGTGAAAATGCTTCAAACGGCCCAAAACTTCACAGGTTTGGTAACGATGCAGCCATCAACGCATCTAAGCGTATAATGGGATGTCATCAAATGCCGTTGGCATGGCGACAGATCATTTACCATCAAGTTAGTTCAAAAGTTTGCAGTTCAAATATTCTGCTGCTTTTCCAAGCCTTTTTACTTTCTTTTCTTCTCTCATCACACATTCAAGCCCCCAGTGTTCATGTATTATTTCAATCTAAATTCTTCACTTTCTTCTTACACATTACATTTCAGCATAGCAATTCAGCGTCAGCTTTTCAGCATAAAGCATTCCCACTAGCAATTTCTTCAGGAATTGCATTCTCTAGTTATTTTCTAATGTTCAACTGCCGGCTGGAATAAGCCCCCGATGTTATTAGATCCTGGCAATGCCCCTGGAAAAGGTTATTTTAAATCGGGTAGAAAACAAGACTGGCCAATCAAGGAGCCAGCTACTCAGATTTAAGAAATAATGTATCATAAGGATATACAAACTTTACTTAAAAACAAAAATCAGAGCTTACATATTATGAACATATAAATTACGTACTAAATAGTACTATTTAAAATACTTAAAATACAGTTACAACCACTTAAACCAGGGGTGGGGAACCTTTTTCCTCTCAAGGGCCATTTCAATTGTTTCAATATCCTTTTGCGGTCTAGATTTCTTCAATTTTTTATTTTTTGCGTGTGTTTATAAATTACCTCGAGGGCCGTACCAAATGGTCTCGCGGTCCGTATATGGGCCGGAGGCCGGAGGTTCCCCACCCCTGACTTAAACAGTCAAAACAATTTAAAAGCTAAAAAGGCTTAAAGTCTCTACTTCAAAACTAAAAGTCTTGCAGGGAGTCCAAAGGCACTCCTCTGCTTCTGCTGTCCCTCCGGTCTGTGCTGTCCCTCCAGTCTGTGCTGTCTCTGCTGTCCCTCCGGTCTGTGCTGTCCCTCCGGTCTGTGCTGTCCCTCCAGTCTGTGCTGTCTCTGCTGTCCCTCCGGTCTGTGCTGTCCCTCCGGTCTCTGCTGTCCCTCCAGTCTGTGCTGTCCCTGCTGTCCCTCCAGTCTGTGCTGTCTCTGTCAGTTTTTATAGGCAGAGCGTTCAGTGCAATTTGGCTCCAGGTGCTTCTTATTGTGGCAACTCAGTGTCAATCAGCATGCGGCGGAAGTAAAGGGGTTAAAATCAGTCCAAACATGTCATAATAAAGGCATGCAGCAGGAAGTAAAACCACATTTCAGAATAAAAACACACAATAAAAATCTGATTAAAATGTATAAAACACATAAATAAAAACCGTCCAATATAAACAATTTAAAATACATCGCCATGTGACAAAAACCCAAACCAGCATGGGCCTCTTTAAGTGACTCAAACCCACATATTCTTAAACCAGAATGCATAGATGTTAGAAAAAAACAGCTGGTTTGATACATGTTCTTCTCTTAGCTTACTTTTTAATCCTCCACCCTCACTTGCCTCAATCATAAATACATTGTGATATTGTGCTTCCCCTAGCTATGAGTGGCTTATTCCTGTCAGGTGGATGAAGAGAAGTGAAGTCCAGACAGATATCTGGTGGCTGAAGGAAAAACATGGTGTGTAATAATATGCTAAAAACACATAATGCTGATAACAGTCCTAATTCTGTAAATTATTGGACAGCGTACGTTGTTAATGTTTTTAAATTACTATTGTATTAAAGCTATTAAATGTTGACTTTTTCCCCTTTCTTCTCAGCGGTAAACTTTGAAATGACGAGAGACGGTTCGTGGCTCCTTGCCAACATCAATGTAACTGGATATTACCGGGTAAACTACGACCGTGGAAACTGGGAGAGCCTCCTGGCCCAGCTGCACTCAGAGCACCAGGTACACCAGCAGCAGGTTACTCTCTCATATGCAGCTCCTTGGTTGGTCAGATTCTTTGGTTAATTTCTTTTTCAACATCCTCCGAGGGCCTCTGCTTAAAAATACTAAAATCACAGCCCATTCATTTGGCCTTTCTTTCATGCTGTGCAAAGAAAAAGCAACCTCTAAATCCAGATATCTTACCATGACTCGCGCATGCATTCACGTGCACGGTTGTGGCATGACCACCAAAACAGAAAAATATGGACACAAGATGTGTGTAAATGTATTTAGTATCCTATCCATGTGAACCGATTTAATCCCCACCCCTGTTTTAGAGGATCTGCTGAATCTATGGCCATTGATTCGTCTTTCATATTCTGTTTTCTGCAGGTTATACCTGTGATTAACAGGGCCCAGCTTGTGGATGATGCTTTCAATTTGGCAAGGTATGTCAATTCAGCTGCTTGGAGTTTTCAAACACTGTTTAATGCTTGGTCATAAGTGCAGTGGTGTAAGTACTTACTGGTACTCAAGTAAAAGTAAAAATGGGTGTAGAAATACTCTGTTACAAGTAAAAGTCCTGCATTTAAAACTCACTTTAGTAAAAGTACAAAAGTATTGGCATCAACAAATACTTACTATGCATAATGTCTTATTATAGAATATTATATATTAAATTACTGGAGAATAATGATTGCTGCAAAATATGTTTATCACAGCTGGTAAAGGTGGAGCTACTTCTAATGTAACTGTATATACTGCTGCTGGATATCTTAATCTATAATTACAGTATAAATCGTATTGTATTTATTAGTTTATTTATATTTAGTTTTATTTTATAATCTGAATATGTAAAGTAACTAGTAACAATTTGTTATTCAAATGTAGTGTTGTAAAAAGTACAATAATGGCTTCCAAATTGTAGTGGAGTACAAGTATAAAGTAGCATAAAATAAAAGGTACACGTACCCCAAAATCATACTTAAGTTCTTCATCTTTGATTTTATCCTTAATTGTATTAATCTGTGTGAATCTGTGCTGTCCTGTTTTTCACTCTCACCCTGTTGCTGTTAAACTACTGAATTTTCCCACGGGATTAATAAAGGTCCATCTTATCTTATCTTATCTTAAGTATAATATTTGGGTAAATGTATTTCACTATCACACCACTGCATAAATGGTTCCCTTCCAGCAGACAAAGAAGAACTGACCAATCAGGTGTTTCCAAAAAATAATAAGAACAACTATAAATAATAGCCGCGTTCACACCGGAGTACTTTCACCGTACTTTTCGCGTTTTAGTTCCGTGAGTACCCCTTATGTCGCGTTCACACCAAAAATCGTACTTAATCTCGGGTACTTTTACCCCCATTTTTAGAGCCAGCTCAGAGAGCGTACTTTTCTGTGGGTGAAAAGTGCTCCAAAAGTTCCCCAGTGCTGATTGGCTGGGCGAATTGCAAACCACGCCCGTACAACTCTGAAAATGTTGTGTGGAGACGCCATTGTTTTTCCTCGCTACAAAAACACAACGCTCCGTGCGTTGCGTTTGTTTTTGAAAGCAGTTATGGCAAGCATCAAGAAATGATGAGGAGGTGTCGGCGCTTCTGGAGATCTACGCAGAGGATGCGACCCAGGGAATGCACTGAAGCCAGTTCAGTAGCTTTCACTCGACCTGGGAATGTGCACAGCCCCACGGCACACCGGCTAAAAATAAAGAAACTCGGGCAGGACTACAAACGGCGGATTCAGTGGCCAACGATGACGACCACGACGAAGGTAAAATCAACTACATGCACTGGGGTTTTAATCTGCACAATAATGGTCTCAGATGTACTTTTATTTGCTCAGTAGATCAAGCTAGCCATGCTAGCCATAATAGGCTAACACCGGCCCCGAGCACACAGTACACACACACTGTAACTTTGTCTTGAAAGAACGTTACGCATCGAACTGATGTTCACAATCATGTTTATTTCATAATATTCATCATATTTTATGTTTAACTTGCCTCAACAACATTAAACAAAGTTCAAGCATACATGAAGCACTCTTCAAAAAGGAACAATCCTCCGTGTTTGAACCTCTTAAATCGCTGCATAGCCGATTTATTTGGACTGGATTATCCCAGAGAGGCCAAACATTCTTTATAACACAGTTTCAGATTTGTGAAACCTTAATTCTATTTGTGAAAATAAAAAAAAAGGGAGATTTCAGTGCTTTTTTTACATGTAGACCACATTAGACCAGGTCCTGATCTAAAACCACTATACCTAGACTCATCAAATCTGGACTGGATTATCCCAGAGAGTCAAAAGATTCTTTATAACACAGTTTCAGATTTGTGAAACCTTAATTCTATTTGTGAAAATACAAAAAAACACATTCCTAGTATGTTGTAAAACTACATGGCGACTAAACTTGTATATTGTATATTGCTTATTTTCCCCTCTTAGGAAAGCGGACACGGGATGCGAATTTCTTTGACACCGCCCAGGCGTTGGAGGACCAGCGTGCCGTGGTGAATGAGTCGCTGCGTGGAGATCAGATGGTGCTGTTCACCAAGGCCCAGGAAACGGAGGACAAGATGCTCACCTCGATGGAGCGCCAGGCAGAAGTGTTCAAGCAGCAGATGGAGCGCCAGCAGCACCAGGATGAAGTGTGGGCGCTGCGCCATGAGGAAGCGTCGGCGCAGCGGCAGGATGAGCGACAAACTGCATTTAATAACAGTTTATTTGGTATAGTTTTTGTAAATACTGACACACGACACACAACGTTGCACTAAGGTGTGCATGCTGCTGGGAATATCCCTACACCTGGGACAGTTTATTTTATATTGTTATTACTGTTATGACTTTATTTTATATATAATGTTTACTGACATGTACAACTGACACTTTATTTACATTTAAAATTGTTCTATTTAATGTTATGTCTTGAGAGTGCAATAAAGAAAACCGACATGGCGATTAAGCTTATTTCTCCTGACACTTTATCTTTTGTGACCTGTGTAGCATCCTATACATCACATGTAAGTGATTATTCTGATACCATCATGTTTCATCGGTTATAAACTGGCAAAGCTTTATTTGTCATTTATTTATCATCAATGTTGCAACCTTGTGGGGGAATGGCAGGGGCACATACACAAATATGATAATTTATATCATTTTAAATATTATTTGACCTAAACTTTTAATTCCCCCCCATTTCACACAACACAACATGGAGTCCACTATGGGCCAAAACTAACATGTATGTTTGCATAGTGTTTATGGCAGACGGATGCAGTGGGTCTCAGGAAGATATATAATAAAGGTGGGTTTGCTGCTGAGACTCCCTACACCTGGGAGTTTATTTTATATTGTTATTACTGTTATTATATAGTACAACTGACACTTTATTTTATATTGACAATGTTTACTGACATGTACAACTGACACTTTAGTTACATTTAAAATATTTCTATTTAATGTTATGTCTTGAGAGTGCAATAAAGAAAACCGACATGGCGATTAAACAGATCCTGTATCAGTTTTTCTTCTTCTCTTGTTTTGTAGCGGGTTGCAAACAACTTTAAGGTGCTTACCGCCACCTACTGTACTTGTAATCTTCCCTCAGGGAAAAGTACTCCGGTGTGAACGCGATCTGTACTAAGTACCCTGGGGTTAAAAGCGCCAGGGCTCTTAGTGCCGGAACTAAGTACAGGAAAGTACTTGGTGTGAACGCGGCTAATGACTTATAAGAGGAATACCAACAATAACAACAACAAATATATGAATTACTACAATAATAACAGCCCTAAAACTATGTCTAATAATAATATTACCACAACATGGGAACAAGCACAGCCAAAGCGTCCAGACATCAGTGTTTAATATTGAAACCTGCAGGACAAGAAAGCTTAAAAAAACCTTTTAGTTCCTTGATTTGGTCAGACAGACAGACAAGACAGACAGACAGACAGACAAGACAGACAGACAGACCGACAGACCGACAGACAGACAGACAGACAGACAGACAGACCGACAGACAGACAGACAGACAGACAGACAGACCGACAGACCGACAGACAGACAGACAGACAGACAGACAGACAGACAGACAGACAGACAGACAGACAGACAGACCGACAGACCGACAGACAGACAGACAGACAGACAGACAGACAGATGTGGTAGCATTCTGGATCCACCGTAGGGTCTTAAGGAACATATTGGGACAGCCTCACGATAAGGCATTACAATAAAATATTATACATAATATATCAGCTATTGTTGTAATCACCAACATGAAATTCATGTCCCAATGCTTGCAATTGATTATAACATGACACTGGCCGGCCAGACATTTCTGTAATAAGTCGGAAATATAGAACCATCCAAAGACTGCACACTAAAAAAGGAACTGGACCATAGTTAAATTTTTTTTTTTAACATTTATATTTTATTAAACATTTTCAAAAGACAAAAACACACGGACAAGGACATGGCTCACATACATTACAAGTAGGACAGGACATAACATGAAGGGTGGGGGGTAGGGGGATTACAGTGTCAGTTACATTTGATGTATGCATATGGCGTTGTATTTATACATACCATAGTTCAATTTGATACGCACCAAGACCACATATTTTTGTGGCAGTATACCAACTGAAATGTGTGGATGCTATTTCTTCTCCCTGCAGGGCTCGGATTGTGTCCAACACTCTGGCTCTGAACACTACTCTCTATCTATCTGTGGAAACACAATACATGCCCTGGCAGTCTGCTCTGGATAATCTGGACTATTACTACCTAATGCTTGACCGCACTGAAGTCTATCCGCACATGCAGGTATACTACACTTTGTGCATGTCATTGACAAAGGTGTTTCAATGTTTCTATTGCTGGATTAAAGTACATCAAAGCAACTATTGACACTTTTAAATAGCTCAAATCGGCAGCCATGAGGAGGAAAAGCAAGTTCTATAAATGAACCAGCATTAAATGTCTTTGTACAGTGGTGTAAAGTAACCGAGTAGATTTACTCAAGTACTGTTCTTAAGTCATTTTCAGGTACTTTACTTGAGTATTTCAATTTTTTTCTTCTACCCCCAACTACAATTCAGAGGTAAATGCTGTACTTTTCCTCCACTACATGTATTTAATACCTTTAGTTACTTCACAGATGTGGATGAATGATGTGAAATATAATCAAGTGTTAAATCAGACTTTAGTTCCACCTGGAGTAAATCCACAAGCTACCCTGCAGTATACAAAGTCATTCAAACTAGCTGCACCTTTACCAGCTTTGATAACACTTTAATGATCAATCATTATAAAACATATCATATATATTATTCTGAAATGAACCAATCTGCTCAAGGACTACTTTTACTTCTGCTACTTTAAGGATATATCGATGCTTATGTTGAGAACAATGACAAAAAGTCACACGATAGCGTATAATATGTTCTGGCTTTATTCACAATCTTTAAATATATGTCTATCCCTCAAAATAACATATTTCTTTATGTTTCTCAGGCACATTAGTTTAACCTGTTAAGCCCGAGAGACCCCGGTACCGGGGCACTGCCGCAACATCTTGCAGGAAAAAGTGTCTGAGGGCATGTTCATTTAATAAACTATGAATGTTTTATATCCATGTAACGGGAAGAAACTCATCTAACCGTTCTTTTTTTTTTTTTTTTTTTTTTAAAACCCCACAATGCTAACGCTGAGCCTCTGAATTAGCAACGAGCGAAAAATGCTAACAGATTACTGCACCGAAAATCACTCACAAAACCTTATTATTTATCTTTTCTCCACATCCATGACATCGTTTCACATCGTGAGGTGACAGAATCGAAGGGTACCCTCATTATCACTCAATTATACGAAATCGCGACGTTATAAACAAAAACAGACATCAAAACATGTGGCGCTAGGTAGCTAAAAATGCTAACATGGTTACCTTGTCTCTGTAGTCTGCTCCAAATTGGTCTTCAATGGCATTAAAACGATAAAAACGCTGCTGAAGTTAATCCATAGGTTAATCCAATGTGTCTGTGTCCCTTTGAAATGATTTCTGATAATCCATGAGCAATGAAACTGCTTTTCCGTTTCTAGATGTCAGAGCGAGAGATAGCTTCACTCTAATGCAAAATTACATGCGCAAAGCCCCCACCTTTTTGTTTTACAACGAGTGTGTGTGGGGGAATCCCCCTTCGATTCTATTGGCTCTAACGGTCAGAAAGAGGTGTCAACCATCAAAATCGACCAAGGGGGGCCAGAGATATGGAAAAAAAAAAACATTTCCACCCAAATCACCTCAGAGGTGGAGTTATTTTGGCTAAACCTCTCTAAAAAGGTCAAATGTCACTTGTTTTGCATCAATCTTGACACAGGGTACTTATTATATGTTGTACTTTGGATTCCTAAAGCTTTTAGTCTACCTTACCATCATCCAAGGGTAGTTTTCACTATAAGTAAAAAAGAAATGTTGGACGGACACTATAATTTACAGTTTTTTACTATGTAAAATCTGAATTTTCTTTAAAATAAAAAACATCTATACTGTTCTGACTTTTCTACATCCAACTCACAGGTTTATCATTACTTTGAGAAAAAAGATTATTAATTTAACCCTTTTAGAAGGGAAGATATGGTCATTTGTTCTGGGAATGTCATTTTCGGGTTAAACACATTAATTAAATGCCATATAGCACATATCAAATTAACTAAAACAATCAATCTAGATAGAAATAGAAATACAGGTGTAATATTTATTTATTTTGTACACAATAATACCACTACGATAACTACATTATCTGTATATTCTGCATAATACCTTACATGTTACTAAACATGCTCTGAATGAGCTATTCACAACCTGATTAATTACTCATTCAAGTTAATCACATGTTAAAATATAACAAACACATTCCTTATATAACTACACAGAATAACAAGAACACAATAACTGATCCTAATAACGTATCAAACATTTACAATTAGCCTTAGCTAGGTGCTTAGTTAACCACAGTAGCATTTTGCATGAATATAACACACTACTAGCATGGCTAGGCCACTTCTGTAATGAATTCATGTGGTAATGAAACCTACGGACTTGAATGAGCCGGGCGGTGTGTCGCATTTGTTTAAAAAAGGTAGCGACAAAAGCAGTCAATACCACGCATTTTAAACTACACCTAAAACACAACCACCCCATTACGTTTTCCCAGCTGGTAGCAGACACGGCAGCTGGAGATGGAGAGCCCCCACCTTCCCAACAGTTTACAATCAAAGATGCATTTGCCCGACAATGCAAACATGTTGGTGTTCCTTGCTCGAAAACTTTGAAAAACAGATTTGGATATGGCCTGTTGAGGCATCTGGGTCTTTGTATGGACAGTGGACTGTACACTTGACTGTTCTTTTAAGGGGGTCTTTTTTTGCTTGTGAGACAATGTGTGCTCATATTTATTTATATATATATATATAGATAGATATAGATAGATAGAGCTCTATTTTCCAGCCTGAGTCTATTTCATTTATTGTTTTGGTTGTGTGTGATTTAATTAATTTATTATAATTTAATTAATTTGTTTTATTTATTATATATCATTTATATATTTTAATATTATTTCACATTTCATTTTGCAATGATGAATGTTCAATAAAAAGTTCTGTTTGAAAGGATGTACTTGAATTATTATTATATATTATCATTATGTCAGTGGTCTAAAATGGTCTTACAACAGTGCCGATAATATTCTCGTTTATCGCAATAATTTCCAGGAAAATGTATCGTCCAACAAAATTAATTATTGTGACAGGCCTAGTACTACTTCTAATTAAGTACATGATATTCTCCCACCTCTGTCTTTGTAACACTTCAAGGCGTACTTAAAGGATCTTGTGACTCCACTCTTCCTATACTTCAAAAACATGACATCAGACTTGAACTGTGTTCCTGATGGACACACTGACCAGTGAGCATAAAAACCTGGATAAAATAAAAAAATATACAAATTTAAGTATGTACAATATTGTCCAAAAAATGTGACAGCTTAACCATGTTACCATGTTTGTCCCTACCTGTAGGTATAACCAGGTGAATGCCATCCGCACGGCCTGTAAGACGGGAGTGACAGAGTGCCGGACCCTGACCACTGCATGGTTCAAACAATGGATGGAAGCCCCTCAACACAATTTGTTGGTCTATATTATATATAATTTGATAACTTTTTTAAGTTAATCATTTAAGTAACACAAACTGTCTTATCAGGATCCATCCCAACCTGCGCTCAGTGGTGTACTGCAGTGCCATGGAGGCAGGAGAGGAGGCAGAGTGGGAGTTTGGCTGGTCTCAGTTCAGGAACGCTTCTGTAGCCAGCGAGGCCAGCAAACTCTTGTCTGCTCTGGCCTGCACCAGCAATGTTAGCCTGCTGAAAAGGTGTGTATCCATCCAACTTTTCCACAGATGAAGAGAGTAACGAAGTGATTTATAGTGAAGTTCCACGATCTCTCTTAGCTTCTTTTAGTAAAATGTATAAACAAAATAGGGAAAAGAAAAAGTGAAAAGATTAAAGCAAAGGACATGTTGTCTCCCCTTTGCAGCACATACCACAACAACAGCAAACAATTTATATACATACATATTAAACAGAGGGAAGAAAAAGTACAACTGAGGGTCTCAGACATTTAAAGACCCCTCGTGTTGCGTTGCCAGTTGCAGGCAGGTGAGAAGAGATTAATGGGTAGGTTCTTGTTTGGATACAAGCACTTCCTGACAAAAGAATAATAACATTGATTTAAGACAAAGGATAAGTGTTAATCGAGGACTGTACTTCCCCTCTTCATTTACTTTTTTCAAAGGTCCCCTATTATACTTTTTTTCAACAACATATTATAGGTCTCAGATATATACAAACATGTCTCTAAAGTGTTTGGCTGAAACACCAAACAGATAATTGTAGCATCCCATAATCCCCTCAGTTTCAGCCCTGTTTCAAAAGTGCTGATTCTCTGTCTGTAGCTTTAAATGCTAATGAGCTGCTGCTGGCCTCGCCCCTCTGCGAAGTGATTGGTTCAAAAACATAATGGTGCCCTAGGAAGAGATTCAGGTGATAAGGTGGGCAGGGGATACCTTGGTTGGTTATTGGCTAATGGTTACACAAGCCAAAAAAACTGATCAGCTCATTTTCATACAGGTTTTTAAATAGGTGGATCAGGAGAAAAACAGAGAGAACATATTTTTTCCTGACACTATCTGAATCTCTTAACACGCTGGGGACATATATTCATGTAAAGAAGATTTGAAAACGTGAATTTTGCATACCTCAGAGAAACAATAGGGAGAAAACAGAGAAAAGCTTTGGGAGTTTAGGTGCCTACTACAACAGTTTACCATTGCAAGCTTTGCGGGTAGTCACTTCACCACCAAGCTTCTGGCCCCCACCTATTTACATGTATGAGTGAATGTCACTTTGTGGTGTGACTGTCGAAGCTCAAACTCAAAACAAGATTAGTAATGAGAGCGAGCAGAGAGCAGCACACTACTGCTTACTTTTTTTAGTGCAAAAAATGAAAGAAAGGAACGCCATGTCGAAAGTTATCTAAAATACCATTGTTGTTCTTAAAATACCTTTTATTGACTATACATGATTTTTCTATGAAATGTTTTAAAGAAAATAACCAGACAGCCAGTCTTTCAACCTTTTAATGCTCTTGATTAGATGAGAATGTGCCAGTCGAAAGAGGTTTGTTTAAAATTCAACTATTTTGTTTTTAGGTATTTGTCTTATACCTTGAACTCAACTATGATCCGTAAGCAGGATGCTACCTCGGTCATCACATCCGTGGCCAGCAACAGTGTGGGACAGTTTCTGGCATGGGACTTTGTCAGGGAACAGTGGGAATACATGTTCACACAGTGAGTAGCACACTCATATACGTTCATCTGTATGTGACAAAAAACAGAGAGATAACATACTAAACCGACCAAACTGTCCATGGAGTCTTCAGGCGGGTAACAATTTAGCTTTGAGTCAAAGTGAGTCTGACATTATATACGGGGAAATCACTCCTTTTGTCAGTTTTGTGATTTTAGAAACATTAACTATATTCCCAGGTAAACTTGACAAAGTTACTTTGTTATTTACAAAATTCAATGATGAATTCAAAAGTAGTTTATTTCGATTGTATTGCTATAGGAACAAAAGTGCAATAACATTTGGGTTGTGAACACTTTAAACAATAAGTTGCTTTTTAATAGCATTATTCCCTTTACACAGTAGCAGTTGTTGGAGTAGAATACCTCTGCTACGCGCCGTTCGTTGGATGAGGCTGGATCTCTATTAAATTAAGAAAGGAATTGAAAACACCGGAATCAAAGTTATAACAAATTATCTGAGTTTACTTCTAGTAGGAAACCAAACACATATACAAGTTATACAGAGTACTCCGGGTACTCCGGGCTTTTAGATTTGTGATGCGATTCGGATAAATGCATCGGGATCAAACCAACTCATCAAACCAAAAAGAAATTGGACTTCAGGTCTGTGATGCGATTCGGACACAGATATCGGGATCAAACCAACTCACCAAACCCAAAAGCAATTTTACACACACAAACATCAGTATTTCTATCTGTCTTTGGGGCGGAGATTTGTCGATTCTTCCTTCCCACTTTTCTCCCAAGCGAATTAGAGAGCCCCTGGGGAGGAGCTGTTTAAACTGACCACCTCCCCCAAGTGCCCTGATTGGCTGGATTCGCTTCTGGCCGGGTTCAATAGTTCTCACCAGGACTTGAAATTCCAAAGTCCCCTAAGGTCAAAAGTCAATTCTTATCTCCGTCCCGATCTCCCCTCCCTACCTTTTCCAGGGGAGTTATCTCATAAACTTTTCTTTTTCAAACAATTAAACCTTTAGTGCCCCCATAAAAAGAGACCCAAATCTACCTTAAAAAACAACATCTGGTGTGTTGAGGTGAAAGGGACAGGGTGTGTATATGACCCAGGAGTGTGATTACTTAAAACAGTTCAAACATGTTCACTAAAATACAATTCAAAATAATACATCTTTACTTCAATACAGTTTAGAATCATATCTTCTTACTTCACAGTTCAAATATTTTCCCCACTTCCAGGCATTTACCGACCGCAGTGCTGCTCGTCCACCGGAGTTTAGTCTACCGTTTACTCACGGCAGAGTTTAGTCTCCCGTTAACTCACGGCAGCTGAAAAGTATTCACTGTCTGACTGTCACACAAGCAGCAGATAAATATCCCCCATCCCCATAAGTGAATGTGTTTAAGTATGAATTGACGCTGTTTGGCATCACAGCGCTGTTATGAAAGTTTCTGTGGTAAGACGTTTTCTACAGGCATATTTTAACGGCATATTTTTCATTATGATTCTACCTGTGATAGTCGGACATGGCAACCTGTGTAGCCCATGTATTGATTCTATCCGATAGCTGCTATAATACAAAACAACAGGAACACGTCTGCCTGCTCTTCATAGTGATCAATAACAGCGAACGGATGGTCAAAGTAAGGTCAAAATAAACAGAATCACACTAAGCCTGGTTAGTGTTGCCTGACTTTATAAAATGTGTTAAAGTGTGTGTAAACCTAAGAACCAGTTTTCGGTGCTTAGAGCCCCACTGCAGTGGAAACAGGAAGAACCAGAGCTTAATCAGGCTCTAGCCCGGAACCGGCCCTGGAATCGGTTTGGTGGAAAAGGGGCATGAGTGTATTCAGAGCCAGTGAGCAACGGAACTTTCCGAAGAATAATATTAATTAAAATAACTGTTAATGCGCGATAAAATAATTGTCGTTGTTAACCTGTTAAGCCCTGAGCCTGTTTTTCAGGTCTCAGGCTCGAAAATGACATTCCCAGAACAAATGACTCTTCTAAAAGGGTTAAATTAATAATCTTTTTTCTCAAAGTAATAATAAACCTGTGAGTTGGATGTAGAAAAGTCAGAATCAATATAGATGTTTTTTATTTTAAAGAAAATTCAGATTTTACATAGTAAAAAACTGTAAATTATAGTGTCCGTCCAAAAATTATTTTTTACTTATAGTGAAAACTACCCTTGGATGATGGTAAGGTAGACTAGAAGCTTTAGGAATCCAAAGTACAACATATAATAAGTACCCTGTATCAAGATTGATGCAAAACAAGTGACATTTGACCTTTTTAGAGAGATTTAGCAAAAAGAAACCACTTCTGGGGTAATTTGGGTGGATTTTCCATATCTCTGGCCCCCCTTGGTCGATTTTGATGGTTGACACCTCTTTCTGACCGTTAGAGCCAATATAATCGAAGGGGGAGTCCCCCACACACACTCATTGTGAAGAGAAATGGTGGGGGCTTCGCGCATGTAATTTTTCATCAGAGTGAACCTATCTCTAGCTTTGACATCTGGAAACGGAAAAGCAGTTTTAATGTTTATGGATTATCAGAAATCATTTCAAAGGGACACAGACACATTGGATTAACCTATGGATTAACTTCAGCAGCGTTTTTATCGTGTTAATGCCATTGAAGACCACTTTGGAGAGACTACAGAGCCAAGGTAAAAATGTTAGCATTTTTAGCTACCTAGCGTCACCTGTTTTGATGTCCGTTTTTGCTTATAACGTCGCCATTTCGTATAATTCAGTGATAATGTGGGTGTCCATCGATTCTGTGTCACCTCACGATGTGAAACGATGTCATGGATGTGGAGAAAAGAAATAGTTGCGTCTTCCTCGTCAGATTCCATCGTCATCAGGTGCTGACACTCACGCTAAGCCTTTACTTGGTGGTACAAGTACAAGATTCTAATTATACTTGTGTGTTTCTCTGTTATAGACCACACACATACACTAAACCTGCTCCATGGCTGTATTACTGTGCTGTTGTGTTGATATTAATAAGTAAAGGAAATCAACCTCTACCAAGAATCTTGTGTGTTCTTACCGACACCCCAAAGTGTAACCCCTAGTTTCCACCGGGTCCGTCTGCGTCGCGTTACGGCTGCGCCGCGGTTTTGGTCCGACCTCCTCTAGCGTCATAACCCACCAGGCGCGTTTCAGAAGCGGAGCGTCTTGCCTGCCGGCTCGCAGTTTTTGTTGATTTGGGCATATTTCCTGGACAGGATACTTTGTACAGACAAAGTTAATAATAACTGTAATATTCCAGTTATAAACGACATGAATCAAAGATGTGTTGCTGTATTTTAGTGGTAAAAAAATGCATTCATCATCATAATTATTCTATATATATCATTTACACAGTGCCTGTAAACCGGAGGAGAACGCTGGCATTTCTCCTCCTACTTGAAAGACTACGGAGGGATAGGGTCTGCAAAATTAGTTTGTGTGTGTGTATATATATATATATATATATGCTATATATGCTCTGAACGTTCCACTTCCTGCCTGCCCGACCTTACGTTACGGCTGCGCCGCGTCAAAAATAGGATTCATCCTAATTTTAGAGGAGCCCTGCGCCAAGCCGCTTCTGGGACGCTTCTGGGACGCTTCTGAGCCGTAACGCGCCGCGTGTGGTGGAATAGCACCCATTGACTAGAGTGGCCTCGATCGCCGTGAGCACCGCGGCGCAGCCGTAACGCGCCCGTAACGCGCCCGTAATGCGCCGTAGACGGACCCGGTGGAATCTAGGGGATAGGCAGGTCTTAGGCAGGAAGCTGTAAACTGTAAGCTGGAGTCCTATCTGGCAACCCTGTCTCCTAAAAATTACATTCCCACAGAACTAAACTGCATTCTCAATTACGTTTAGCTAGAAACGTATTTTCTCCCATGTTACGTTTGTTATGAATGTATCTCAAATACGTTTATTTTCTACATATGTTCTAGAAACATATTTTCTCCCACGTTACGTTTGTTATGAACGTATCTTAAATACGTTTATTTTCTACATATCTTTGCCATTTATTGTCTTGCTTATAATAATGATAATAGTCATTTATAAATATCATTTGAGAGCACACATTTGAAATCGACGATCGGGCTCGATATCCTATGGTTCAATTAAAATCAGTAGGCGAGGCTGTAATTTCGCCAGCTGTTACTCTCATGAGCGAGGCAGAAAATAATAGTTTTAACATGCCAAAAAGCTGGCGTGTTGTTTATTGCACCTCAAACATTAAAACAAATCCAGAGTTACGTGTTTCTGTAAGAAAGGACAGTAACAGAAGAGCTCTGTGGCTTCAGGCTTGATCGCCGTTCAAATTACAGCGTTGGTTTCCCCAAAAGTGGGTGGGGCTGTAAAGTGACGTAGATTTGACTCTCATCTATTATTCAAAACCATTCTATTTATTCTAACGTAAATGACATGCCAGTGTTTTATCTTTTTATTTAGCGATTTGTTTTTGCACTGGGAATGTTTTCATGTGAAGTACGTCACTTCACTTTGTCTTCTTCGTCCCTTTTACGTTCCAGACAATGCATGGCTCAGCGTAACAGACTGAACAGCGACCCCAGGTGTGTCTACATTGGAATTACATCTTCATTACTGAAGGAAAAATACTTTACCTAGTGTTTGTTAACTGGGTTTTAATGGTTACAATATTGCTATGAGTTACAGTATATTTTGGGTGATGGGAGACACATCTATGGAATCACAATTTCAATAGCTTACCATTAAATGACGGATATACCTTTCTGTCTGTGATGTTTTACAAATTAGATATTAATGTGTAGAAGTAAAACATGAGAAATAGTATAGCAATATCCTGTAAAATTATGTAAAAACATGAATAAAACTACACATCTTCAGATGTTATACATACACAAGTGTCCTACACTAATAGTACAAAGTTATTATTAGTATGCTGTGTGTACCTTGTGTGCACCGCCTAGTGGTTAAAGCACGTTATTTAATTATTTTGATGAATAATGTTATTTTTGTTGAATAATGT